GAACTTGACAAACTCGAAACACTGTTCACGATTGAAAATGAGTTTTTTTTTTTTTGGATCGATTTGAATTGGACTTAATAATTTCAATCCGAATCCGTCTGAACCCGCCCCGTGCTCAGGCCTAATTTCCAGATAATTTAGCAATAAATTTTGTTTTTAGCTTTGTTTTTATGAATGTATACCCGGTTTTCTAACAATGTTCCTTGGTAAATGGTAACTGTATTTTGAAGTTGTCTGAGAAACTGACACTACACATTGCTCAGTTGTATTTGTCTAATGTGTGTATATATATTTCATATTCAACATGATTTTCATGGATATAGTTACTCCACGTGCTGCTATGGCAAAGATGGTAGCACAATGCCCCAAACAAAATAACAAATATTGGTACAGTAGTATATTTCATTAGTATCGAAATATCTGGATACAGTAAATTTGACATGCCATTTACAAAATTTTTATATTTGTGGATTCTTTTCATCGTTTAATGTCTAATTTAAAAACAAAAAAAATTAACTTGTGTAATTGATTTTGTACTGTGTAACTTGGAAAGATCTTTTCTTGATTAATCCTAGTAAAAAATTCATAGTTTTTAATAGAAAGATATAATAAAAAAACATTATAATATTTACTCGCATATTATAATTTATAGTTCCTTGAAACCAAGGACGGAGCCAAGGGGGGACCTACGGGTGCCACGGCCCCCCCAACAATTTTAATTTTTTTTTATATACATATATATTACTATATGGCACCCCCTATTTTTAATATAAACTCATATGTATATTACTATATGGCACCCCCTATATGGCACCCCCAGTATTGAAATCCTGGCTCCGTCCCTGTGAGTTGAAACATAAAAATCCCACTCTTATCTAAATTATAAATTTTTAATTAATGTTTTAAAATTTACTTGAAAATAATATGAGCCAAAACTAACAAGTAATCATGTATTTGATATGTATTTGATTTGACATCAAAAACATTTAAACGCTGGTTTAATTCAAAATAATATCTTCGTTACTTTTCAATTCTTACATTAAAAAGTGAAAAATTATACATTTAAAAGAACGCGTACCCAAATATAATATACTATAAGTAATTGAATTAATATATTATTAATTAAATTGGATGAATAAATAATATATATATATATATATATATATATATATATAATATTTATCAAATTTAGACATAATAAAAGCTGACGTGGTAGAGTAGTCTTACAAACACATCACATTTATTATATCTATTTTGTTATATTTTGAAGTATACATATAATGTATAGTTAGACACGAGACTCCAAATAAGCAACACACATTACAAGACACACATTAAAGAAATAAGCATCTTAAAACTTAGTGATGTTTTCACTGACATTAATAATAACATAATTATCAATAATAGATTAAGATAATTTTATAATATTAGTTGGTGATATTTCATGATAATAAAATTAATAAAATAATTTTGTGCGATAAATTAATTAATAATATTTGAAAAGAAAATTAAAATAATATATATATATATATAAAGGACTAAAACATGTATTTTAAATTTGATTGATTAAAATAATAATCTTTATATTTTAGGAACTTAAAAATATAAATTTTAAATTTTAAAAACTAAAAAAAATCATAAACCTCAAATTTTAAAAAACTAAAAATATAATTAAATCACACATATCTTAAATGAATCACTTTAATAGTATCCAAATTAAAATTTATTTGTACATGTATTACAAACTTACAAATTGAAAAATAAATTATTAGAATATTGTACATAAAATATATATATATATATATATATATATATATATATATATATATATATATATATATATTAATTGCACATACTCGCACATACATAGATTATTTTTTAAAATTTAACTTCTTTTTACATTTTGAAAACTTATTCTGTAGACTATATATACTTTGAATATATGGTCGAAAATAAGATTTCAAAACAGTTTACTTTGATAATACATGCATTGAAGTTTATCAACAGATACCTCATCATCTATATTTCACAAAATTTGTGTTGTATGTATTTTTTTTTCAATAATTCTGTCTTGCTATCTTTCAACATGAGTTTCAGTAGTAGAGTTCACTGCTTTTTAATGTTATCATCCTCCAAAAGCAATGTCTTTGAAGTGTTGTCATTAATTAATTATAGTTACTAATATCATTTTTTCATGCAAATCAATAAGTTTTTACTGAGATTCTATCATGAGATGAAAAATGAGATTAAATTAAAGATGTGAAATATTACATATTTTTCAAAAATTAATTTTTGAAAGTATTAATTAACATATATAAAATTAACACTCTTGAAAAATAATTTGTGAAATGTGTTGAAATTTTAACATTTTTAAAAACTAGTTTTGAGAATTTGTTACACATTTAATGGCTTCATATTTTATTTTATGAAATATATTTTAGAATTTAAAATTTAAAATTTCCACACATTATTCAAATATATATTTTAAAAAAATCCTTAACAAAAAAAATTTTAAATTTTTTTTATAAAGAATCCTTCATTATTTAAACTATCGTCATTAATATAAGTAAAGTCTAGTTACCTTGCTCAAAGTTTAGGTACATGCAACATCTAATTTTTATCATTGTTTTGAAAATTGGGCTCAATGATCGTTTCGATTAATTTGATTGAGATTAATATGATGAATAGTTTGTTAACAAATAAAAATTCAAGAATTGGTCAAATTAATTCAAAATCAATGTAACAAATTGATTTAAACTAGTATTAAACTAGTATTATTTAATTGTGATTATTATCTTATTCATACCTTTCTATTATTAAATCTTGATGGATAAAAAATTATTAAATTCTAATTTAGGTTCTTCGATAGCACATCAGTCAATTTTTATGAATAAATTAAATATTAATTATAAAAAATAATTTTTAATTTAATAATAATTTAATTTTATAATACATGTTTATAAATTATTATTTAAAATTTTTTTAAAATTTACATTAATCACAAAATTTATTACGTGTATCATCTATATCTGTTACATTTTTTTTTTCTTCAGAATATCGATCAAACTTCAAACAGAATGTCGATATTAAAACATTATTTTTATACATTTTAGCACAAACGGTATAAAATCTCAGCCACAAAATATATTTTTTATCGTATTAAAATAAAAATTATTAAAACAAAATATAACTATCAATCATTAGTGACCCAATGAATAAGTAGACTATTCTGCAATTTTATTAGAAGTATGTAGATTTTGGTCCGTACACGCGTGACATTCGGTTGAACCGTTAGGATAATATGTTGTCCTTTATTTGCATAACACAACACGCGTCAAAATGTCTTCAAATCAAATGATTCATTCACTTAATTCTATGCTCCTATCATCTTCTTATATTATATACTTAGTCCTCTACGTGTAACAACTGAATTCGACACTGAAATTGAAATATATTTGGTAAAAGCTTATCTTTTAATAGTATTACATTATACATTAAGTATATAACTTGAAAATTTAAAATGTTTTAAACATCTTATTATATTACTGATAGATGTAACCAAATTAAATATTATAACAGAAACTTTCTAAATTTTTACTTTTATATTCGATTAGGGTTTCTGTTTCTATATTTATTTTAAAAAAATTTAAATTTAAATTTAAATAAAAAATAATAAAATAAATATAAAGATTTAAAGAATAAAAATAATGATATAAGTTACATAGTATTAATAACTAATTTGTAATTAAAAATTAAATAATTTAGAGTAGTTATAATTTTGTTGAGATGTAATAGTTTAAAAAATAAGATAAAAAATTATATGATTCGTTTATATTTAGTAATTAGTAGTATTGGAAAAACATTTGATTCAACTGCAAAGAGTTTATAATTTCTATCTTTATTTACATTGAAAAAAAATAAAATCATATAGGTAGTGAAATAATACCTTGTTGACCGAATTGAATAAATTATTCTGGAAGCAAATTTTTTTTGTTAAAGACACTACATAAAGTAACTTTTGTCAATTGTTTAAGTTCCTTTTTATATTCTGTTTATAACTTTTTTGTAAACCTTATCTTGATATATTATTTTTTCATACAATTTTAAAAAATTTAGTAACATAAATTTAAATGAATGTCATAAACTACTTCATACTTTTAATTCTTTTTTCAATTTAAATTCTAAAATTATTTTTTTTCAAAATTTTAGACAATATTAATCAATTCTTTTTTAAAGAATTCTTTTATTCTTCTTTTCTCACTCCAAATTTTGAGTGAAAGATAAAAAAACGTTAACTCGTCCAAATTCACCTTACCTTTTGACTAGTCTTAAATGAATCTTTCAAATGATGTCAACTAAGAATATATCTAACTCAATTAAAAAAAATTAAAAATCCTTCCAATCATGTATTCACAGGTATATAATTAATGTCTATGAAAAAAATTATTAATAAAGACAAAACCTTGCAAGTGAATTCATGATCACCAAAAATATAATTAAGGTTTAGAACTAGAAAGGTAGCTAAAATATGTATAATATTATTATTTCATACTCAATATTACAGATTTTTTATTGACAGAAAACAATGTTAAGGTGGTGGTCGTTGAGTGTGACCCCACCTGACAGGAGAAGACAAGACACGCAAGGAACCGCCACCGCATGCATCATTTGGTTCCTTCTAATTCTAATTCTTTTTATTATAAGATGATTTTCTTTTCACAACTAAATAAATAAAATACTCACACTCTAAATTTATATCATCATTTTTTTTTTCTTCATATATTTTTTCAAAATGTAAAAATGTCTTGGATGTAAAAAAAAAAATTAATTTTCCTTCATAACTCAAACCCAAAAGCAAAAGCAAAACCAAACACAAGTTACATACACCGCTTCATAGAGAAATCTAGATACTCATATCACAATCACCAATTAACTACTGCCATTGTTTTTCTTCTATTTATCATCTTACCACATATTTCTAACTCCTTTTCATATTATATATTTCTCATCTACCCGTGACACCTTCTCATCACTCACCTCTTCCTTTTTTTCTGGTCAAAAGAACTATAATTAAGTCCTCTCTCTTTCTTTCACACAACACAACACAACACAAGATGACTTCTATCATCTCACAAGGTCTTGTTCTCACCACTGCCATGCTTCTCTCAACAACTCTGTTTTATGTTGCCTTCTCTTGGCACAAGGCCACCCCATCATCATTTCAAATTCACCATCCTAACAAACCCACCTTACGCTCTTGCTTGTATTCAGGTAAATTTTTCATTCTCTTCCTCATTTTCCTTACAAAATATCTTTCTTACAACAACTACACACAATTATTTCTAAAATCAAAAACTGAAAAACATAAACAGTTATGAGATCAGAGATTTTTCTTGGTTTTTTTTTTTTTTAATTTTCATTTTGTTCTACTTTCTCTCCAAATTTTATACAGTTTTGTGTCTCTTACCAATCTTCACCATCTCTTTGAAAACAGTTGCATTTTGAGACTAAAAACAGTTTTTTTTTTTTCCTTAAATAGAAATCAAACACACCCGAAAACCAAAAAAACAAAAACTAGATTCTGCCTAGTAGTGATTTTGATTTTTGACTCACCTAAATTCTCACTAGTTTTGAGTATTGATTCAGCTAACATAAATTGTGAGTGTGACATGGTTTTCAGAGGAAAAGAAAAGGGAGAGAAAGAAGAAGAAGAAAGTAAAATTTGCAGAAAATGTGAAGGATGGAAGAGAAAGGAATGAGGAAAAGAGAGTATCAAGGAACTGCAGGCATGAAACATCGGAAAGCAGTGGCATGCAAGCGAACAGAATGGCTTTGTATAACGGGATTTTGAGAGACCGTGTGCATAGAATGGAGTGTTCATACTAAGATTAGATTCAACAACATTGTACCTTGGAATAGTAGTTGTACTCAACATGTGTTGGGACTTTCAGCAACACAAAATCTCATCAACCTCTCTCTTTCTCTCTCCTAATTTTCAAATATAATTTTGTGGTGAGGAGGCTGCTGATACAATGCAAAAATAAAAAATTAAAATTAAAATTAAAATCTGGGGTGTTTTCGTGGTTGTAGATCGTACTGGGTTTTGTCCAACGGCGTTTATGAAGTATTTCGCACACTTTTGTTTTCTTCTGCTTCCACCCACTTCAATCAAACAAATTTTTATTTGTGTCTGTATCTTTTCTTATTTATTTATTCTAAATCCCTTTTTTTTACATGTTTATTGCTGTTTTTGCTAAATTTTGTTTGAGATGTATTGATTAATTAATTTATTAACTAATGAATTACCGAGACTAGAAAAACTTCATAAAGGGTTTTTTTATGTCATTAAAATACACTGATTATTTAAGTAACTTATAACTTATATTTAAGTTTATATAAATTATTCACACAACCTTAAAACAAATTAGTAATTTAAAGGTAATCTTGTTTTGGGGTTCAATATTGCATTTAGAGATGGAGTAAATTAGAAAACTCGTTAAAGAGCTTATTGTTTGATCAGTAGTAAACTTAGGCCAGGTTGGGCCTATTTGAAACTCAGTTACACTGATTTTTTTTATTTATAAATATTTAGTTAAAATTAAAAATAATATGTTTGTCATGTAAATAAGTCCGATTTAGATCTTATATTTAAATTATACTTATTTAAGATAAAATTTAGTCTAATTCGATTTTTTTCCCGTAAATTTATGTCGATTAGACTATAAATCATATTCTTAGCAGGACAAATTTTGAGGCATTATCTATTTGTAGTTACGGATTGTTCTTGCTGCCTATATATATCTAAGAACATGACATTTGGTCTATTCATAATTTTTTTGTTTCAAATAAACTGGTTCTTTGTTCTATTAGTGGATTTCATTATCCATCTTTTACTGAGTTGCCATTAAATTATAAAGGATAATGTGGAAAAGTGAAATCAGTGATGTACGTAAAGTTACACTTCAACGAATTTTTTCTGCACTAATTTCCCCTCTTACATACATGTTCACACCTGATGCAAAAGAATAATATTTTAGCCACTTTTTGGGACTTGAAACTTTTTAAGTTTTAATAAACCTTTTACATTTTTCTTTTGAAAGAACGTAGGAATCCTGCTCATAGTCAAACAAGTGGCTAAAAATTCTTATTCGACTAAATTTTATATTATGGTTTCTTCAACGACAATCTAGTAATAAATATTAACGTCACTGAACACGCTAGAAGGTAGTGTAATTAGCATTGATCCCCCCAATTAGTATCATTTAATAGTTGCTCGTACTTTAAAACAGTAAAAGCGTGAAATTGATTATGACCTTAAGCTTTTATTAGAGAATGCTAATTTAGACTTCTATCCATAAATTGTCGTCCCTAAAATTTTACGCCTGCTTATTTTATAGACATGGATTTTGCTAAACATCCGAACAAGGAATTTAACGCATGCTATAGACTTCCATTTGTCAAACTTGCAAACTTATTTACCCCACAAAATTCAAATAAATGCGTTGAAGATAACAACCAAAAGATGATAATAATAATAATGATTAATTGCATTTATAACAATAATTCAAGTTATTTCTCTCCTCCAATGCAAGAAAATCCGAACTAAACCAATTCAAAATCAAGCCAAACCACCTTATAAAAACCGAATTATTTTGAAAATAAATAACTAAATCAAACCACTTTGTAAAAGTTGTTCAGGTAATCGAATTACTTTTATAAAACAGCTCGATTTTGTTTGATTATTTGAAAATATAGTATGTACAACCGAACTACAGTAAATATAAAAAAAAGTCATTCAGTTAATTGAATCGCTTTTATAAAATAGTCCAAGTTAGTTCAGTTAGCATAATGTGAAGTATAAGGAAACACAATAAGATATATGATTAATCTAAAATAAAGCAAGCAGAATATGTTAAATTTTGTGCATGTAATGCAACAGTATTTCTATATGATTCTTGAGCACCTAGGAAGACATCCGTGAACAACTTACAAAGGTGAAAGTACAGCTGCAAGTTCCATCATGCCATGGAGCAGGCTTGCCTGCTAAAAGCATTCAAAATCATTTGGTGCAACAGCTGTTTGTGCCTTATCAAACTCACCACCCAAAATGCACAAGATGCTCCATTCACTAGGCTCAACAACAACCAAGGACTGTTACTAAACTCCTTTCCCTTGTCATCGTCGAAATTCTTACTAGTTCTCATTTAGTATTTACTAAAACTCTAAAGCCTGTATTGTCCTCCCTCTTAGTCGGTTGTCACAGATTATTATTGTTTGTTCTTCTCATCCTCGTACCCAGATGCCCTTCCTCTTCTTCCTATGAGATATGGCTCGGGAGAGTTGTTCTCACTGGGCATATTCAGACCCTGATAAGAACGATTTGCCAAGAATTCTGCTCCTGATCTAGCATTCCCTTTCATTAGAGCATTAGAGTTATTCCGCAACTGCAGCGCCTTCTCTGTTGCATTTACTAAAGAAAGAACTTCTCTTTCTTCCTCAACATTTTCTGATGAAATACAAACTTGGGGTTTAGAAAATAAATATATTTATGACCTTATTTGGTAAAACAGAATAAACAACCCAATTACTACCAGTATTATTATATGTACAGGAAGAAAACAACTTTCTACCCACTTAAAAAAAGGTAAAATGGATCTGTACAATCGTGGTGCGACAATTTTTGGGTTATGGCAGCTGAAATTTTTGTATCATGTGAAAGAGCAAAAATATCATGCCTGTTTAGATGTTCTAATATGGTGGAATTACAATTGAACTGAATCTTTTATTAAAGTATCATGCAGTTGCAAGCATAGAAGCAAGGAATAGAAACCACCTTGATTTTCAAAATCTTCAACATATCCACCTTTCAAGAATGAAAACCGCGCTTCTTCCTGGTCAATAACTTCCATTTCAGGCAAATTAATTAGATCTCGAAATTCCATTACATAGGCTCCTGTCCACTGGCTTCCCCTGGAAATAGATTAATATGGTTGCATCAGAAATTAAGAAGTGTAAATCATAAAGTCATAATTGTAAAATTTGGGGAGAAAAAGTTACATATTCCAATATTCAGCTATAAGCCTATAAATATATCAATATATCACAATCCATCTGCAGTAGAGACCATAAAAAATAAAAAATATATAGGTATCACAATTAAAAAATCTTATACATTTTCATAGAAAAAACCATGTATAAGACACAACAATGACTGTCCAATGAAACCAAATGATGAAGAATAAAGCATAACTGGTTTTCTACCAAGACCCAGAAATATGAAAGACAGGGCATTTGACAGGCTAAAAGTGACTTGGTGAACAGGTGAGTGCATTTGGGAATTTACAGCTTACATATTCATCCATCACCGTTGAGTACAGAGACAGTGACCAGATCAAAGTTTTCTATAAAACAGTTGTAGTTAAATGAAAAATTGAAAATTAATTAGAAAAGAAATTATAACTTAGTATTTCATGCATCGATGCGAAGCAGAGTGAATGAGTCTTGAGTTTCTGGAAGTTAAAAAGGTTCAAAGCTAACGTGGAAGTTAGCAGCCAATAGATAGAATATTTCATTATTTCCCAGAGGTTATTATCCATTTACTATAACCATAAATTTAAAATAAATTAAAAAGAGGCAATTATAAAACAATCAACAATCTATAAGAGCACAAGCAAATAGACAATTTTCAATATATAAGTATATTTAACTACGATAGTGTACCTATTGAAAGCTATCATGGCTTCGAAGGGAGTAATAACAGGAGCTAGATACTCTTTGCTATCCAACAGAGCAGTTTGGGCACAAGAAACGTATAGAAAAACATCACACTGGAGAAAATCAAACTCTGTTAGCAAGTTTTCAGACATAAAGGTAGACTGAAGTATATAACAAGAATGTAACAAACTTCACCTCTGGAAAGTTAGCAAGTTTAGCTGGGTTTGGTCTTCCCATAACCAAAGTATAGGCCTTCTTGCCTGCCCCTGTAATGAGCTCCATCATCTGATTGATTATATGAAGATAACCAGCTGCATCAATATGCAGTATGTTAAACTAAATCCCATTTCTCTTGTAAAAACAAGAAAATAATAGTCTGTAATCGTAGGCAATAATCAAATGATTCCTTATCTTACAGAATAATGTTCCTCAAGACAGGCAAGTATTCTTTTCATTTCATCCAAGGTTATTTACAATAAGGACTCACTCTAGAGATCCTTTCTCACTAGACAACATTCAAATCAAATGTATTTGGGAAATTTGCATTATTACAATGCTTCACAAGGAATGTGACTGTACAATTCTGTATATGCTCATGTTACTTTACTTTAGTAATAACCGTGCATAAAAAGCTGAAATTTTGACAGTAAAACATACCAACACCAAGAGTTCCTACTAAAATCCCAACAATATTAGCATCCTTAGCTCTCTCCACCAGGTAATATCTGCATAGTCATTACCCATTTACCCTACATTAGTCATTTTTAAATTCATAAAGATGTCTTACACAACCAGAGTAGTGCATTTATATTGATACATACCTCCGTTTAAGAATCCTCCTTTGTTGAAACAAGTCTGTCACCATTTGCTTTTCATTTGCATCATATCTGACTAAAACCAACAGAATCACATTTTTTGTAAGCGAGATGCATATTATAGGTGTAAAAGAAAAATTAAAACAATGTAATAATTTGGGGAAAATTAGCTTCCCAAGATATATATCCTTTTGTTAGATGCACGACAAAACATGACATCGGTTTACCTACTTTCCTAAGGCCATTCCATGATAGAAATTTAATGTAAAGCATAAGTTACATAGCCAAATTATTAAATGGAGTAATTGACATCAATGTTGTCAAAATTGAAATCTTAAGTAAAGTAGGTTTGGGAAGGGACTGTCGGATCCTAAAAAATGCAAAAGTATACTTAAACATATGCATGTGCATAGAAAGTAATACTGACAAAGAAAATAACCTACAAACCACACCATTGAACTAAACTTAAACTAAAAATTCATAAGCACAAGATCCAATACAACTCATAATTAGTCACACAATTTTTTTCATTAGAAATATAAATATAAAACTGTGAAGCAAAAACATAAATAATCCAAGTGTTTAACTCTACTAGGCTACTATTCTAGTAAATCCTACAAATAGCCCCAATCGGGATAGTCATCGGGGAGCAGAAAAGTGCAAACCCAACACCAGAGAGCACGGGAAAGAGAAACTGGAACCAAAGGCAGAGGTGCTGCCCAGGAGTCAAGGCCAAAAGGATTGAACAACTGTGAATGAGCAATTAGATTTTTATGTCAGAGAAGGGCACTGGTCACAAGACTAGAACGAGCTTCAAAACATACAAATAATGTGAAGATTGGGTTTGAAATGGTGGGTTATTCATACCAAGAAATGAAATTTGACCTGGAAAGCCTGCCAGAAATAGGATCAGATTGGATAGCCAATCAAGTAATCCTATAGGGCAATATTGTCAATCTCACAAAGTCGCCATCCCACAACCAATCCAGCACACATCTAGCTCCAAAGATTGCAGGATCATGCGATATCATTATCTTAATGGGGATCTCAAAAACAATGACTGACATAAGCACTTTATGCAAGGGAATAACAGTTACATGAGAATGATAAATTTTTATAAGCAAATACAACATATAGATGTTGTAGCGCATTAAGAAAATCAGAAAAATACAGATAGTAGATACACGGAAAATTTCACAAAGGACAGGAAACTATCAACCTATTTCACAGGCATTGAATGTGAGCACAACATTAGCAAAAGCTGAGTCGTCAAGTCCAATCCAAAAGAGCAAGTAGTCATCCATGCTTTGTCCCTCAGGTAATTTCCAAGTCAATCCTCCAATGCTACATGTAGTCCCACTTGCCCCACTGGCTTGTTCTTGGAGCCCATTTATCTTTTTAATATCTTTTGATGGAAACATAACTGAAGATGGAACATTAGCAAAGTGAACTTCTGGCTTAGCGTCAAATCTGCATGACATTGATGATTCTAACAGTGCTTCTTTAATCTGTTGCATTGAATGTGCATATTCCAACCCAAAAAGGACCTGCGCTCAGAATGGAAGCAGATGGTCCATGAAACACATAAATGTCAGAAACTTGTATGGCATGAAAATACCTATAAACTTCTCTTCTCTATGTTTGTGGAAAAGCTGGAAAAATCAGCAATTTTTGCAAAGTAATGTAAATTGGCCAAAAAAACACTTCATAAAGATGTGAAAGTCCAGTTCATAGTCTGAACAATTATTACTAGGGGTCAATTGCAGCTACATTATTTCCTATACATTACAAAATTCAGTCAATTGATATAAATAGAAATCCAGAAACGATTAAAAGAAAGTTATACCATGATAGGCTTACTATTTGCCAAAGCATATTTTGACATACTTTCAACACAATCAGCTACGCAAATGGAAGCCTTCCCAAAAACAAAAAAGGCTGGTAGAGTTGTTGTCCTGCACAGAGAAAAGAGGATTCAATGGAAGCGTATGAAATAGAATGTCAACCCCTTAAACTAAGCAACCAATTGGTGCCACATACACTGTTAGAACATTTGAATAGAAGTACTCAAGAAAAAATCGAAAAGAAACTTTCAAAGTATCAGCGTTAATGACTGGGCGTATCATACACATATGGCTATGATTATATCAAAATACATCTCTACACTCTACAATCATATATGAGGAAAGAAAGACACGGGATTTATAATAAGATCAAATTCAACATTTAAAATATGTTTTAGAAGTACTCACGGGCTAAAACATGTATGTCCATAATGTATGACACAATCAGCATTAATGTGTGATGCTCCAACTTCATCAACACAACAGCTACCATAGGCCGTGTCTGCCATCACAAACAACCCTACATCCGTTTCATGCCCACTTCCTGTGGCATCACATTTTTTCAATGATTGAAGTCTCTTGCGCAGAGCAGTGACCACTCTTGTTGAATCTTTTAGGAGATGATCTGGAAACTGAAATTCATGCAAGAATATCCTTGCAGCTGAGCAAAGTATAATAATAACCCCTACTACATAGAAACCTTCAAAATTCAAATTTTAGAAGTAGAGGTAGTGTTAAAAAGGACAAGTACTTGTATTCCTTTGCATAGAACTTGCAATTTTAAAGCTTGTCATTTGCTAGTTTTTTTTTTTTTTTTTTTCCAGGGTTCACAGCAACCCAAACAAGGTTTTAGCTAGACTCTTAACTATTAATGAGGTTAAAAGAATTCTAACATTTAGCGAAAGCTGAAAGGAAATGAGTTGAGAAAGAGGGTCTTACTTGTAAAGCAACTCTGGTGAAGTTGTGAGTGTGAATGAATTGGGCAGAGGCTGCAATATCATAATTTGATTCAAAATCCATTGACCAAAGGTGAAAAGCAGTCCTTTCCTGTGGCAACATTAAATATAAAGAAAAGGGTAAGACAATTGCAACAATAGGCACAGCACAAGCATGATGAGTTTTGGTTTTAAGAATGGCATGGCAATTGCCAAATGATGCATACTGTAACATCAAACGTGGTGGAGGAGCTGAATCTTTGAAGGCATTAAGTAATTAAGTAAACATATACAAATTTTGAATAGAATTGAATTGAAGCACTGAACTTAACCTCGTTCGTTGTCGCTCTGAAACGGCGTCGTGCTCGCCCTATGCCCTCTCTAAATATTCTGTAGGGTTTTTCGGTAAGCCACACCCGAAGAAGAATCATTCAGTTTCTTCATTTCTCGTTTTTTAATTTTTATTATTCTTAATCTTATCTTAATATTTCTATCGCTAAAAAATTAAAGATTGAAAACTAAATCTTCCTATATCTACCGAAATTACTATTAGGCTAAGCCAGCTTCAAACTTATCTTTATAATAAGATTTGTGGTAGTTTACTTGTTGAAATGGGAACAATTAACTAGTCATTTATGTATAATATTATAATTATAAAAGGTTTAGTTAATTTATTTGGAATTACTGTTTCGCATTTGGAATAAGATTTGAAACTGTGGCTGGCTATACAAGTTCGCGTATTTTATTTTACTAAAAATATTATTTTTATAATTAAAATGTATTTTCCTAAAATATCCTCAATTCTCAATATAATTATTTAACATTAAAGTATTTTTAAGACTTAATTTATATATAGAAAATATATGCATTTTTAATAAATAATATCATTCCAAATACAATATTTTGTTGTGAAAAATGGGATTTCACTATTCTAAAGTTAGAAATTTGTATTTTAGAGAATAAAACGTTATAATAAAAATGATTAAAATTATAATAAATTTGATTTTATTACAATTGTTAAAGTTGATTGCTAATCAATAATTATAAGTATATTTTATTTTTTAAAGTATATATTTTTTTAAAAATAATTTGAAAAAATATTATTTAAAAAAATATATATCGAACAACTTATGCAAATAACTTAAAAAATCTTATGAATCAGTTGTAAGATATTTTTATAAATTCACTCAAACACTCTCACAAGCATATTTATCATAAGGTAAAATTAAATACGTTGTTTATAGGCTATTTGGAATGGGGGCTTGATTTTAATTGCATTCCAAAAAAAAAAAATTGCTTTCACATCAAATATTGATTCTTACGTAGATTATTCTTTTTTTAAAAATAAGTTATACATCTTGAATTCTAATATATTATTTTAATATTTTAATATATTTTTAGTAATTCAATTTTAAATTATATTTTTTCTCAAATTTTAAATTTGTATTTTTAGTTCTTATAATTTTAAAAAATATTATTTTTATCCTTCAAAATTAAAATTTATTTTTTAACTTTCAAAATATCAAAAATTATTATTTTAGTTTCTTTCGATGTGTTATCGTCAGTTATAATATTAGTGACTAAAATAATTTTTTTTTTAAATTATAAAAATGGAATGATAATTTTTTAATTTGAGAAATCAAAATAATATTTTTTAATATTTTGATGATTAAAAACATAAGTTTTAAACTAAATAAACTAAAAGAATATATAGAATGTGTTGATATATATTAAGTACAATATCGAGTGAACAAAAAGACATCTACATAAGTAATTAAACAATTTTTTTACTTAGTATAAATTAGTACTAACTTATGTAATAAATAAACATATTTTTATATAATTAAATTTATAATAAATAAAATATAAATAAGTATTATGTTTGAATATATACACTATATGTAAAATTTGTATAAATATTAAATAAATATTTTTAAACCTATAAGTAATATTTTAAATTTATAACAAATAATTTATATTATAATACAAAATTATTTTATTTATTAATAATTTATTTAAAATATTAATATTTCATTTAAGAATACTTATAATAAATAATAACCAAATTAAATAAAAAGATAAGGAAAACTTTTAGAAATATCTTCGCTTAAGATGAAAATTTATGTTTAATATATAAAAGTTTATAATAAAATAATATTAAATTTATTATAATCATATTAACAAATTTTTATTAATTATCTTAATAGAGATGATATAATTAACACTTGACAAATATATACCATGTTCTATCATGCTTAACAAATAATCTTATCCCTTAGTTATTTTCTAATTTGATCGCAAATATGCAGGATGGAGATCCATGAATCCATGCAAGGAAAGAAATAGCACCAACTACGTGCACATTAATTATTTTTCACTATACTTATATTAAACGTATATATATTTCCATAATTTTATACATGTTTAATAATAACTAAGAATTTTTTATTTACTATTCAAGATATACGTCGACAAAGTACTGACAAAGGGATCATCGGTTCTTATATAGACGACATGATTTGATAATCATTTTTTTTATTCTTATTTATTTACTTTAAAAATGTAGAAATTAATTAATATAATTTTTTTATTTTTAAGTAAAATATTAAAAAAATATAGCTAGACAAGAATATCATTGAACGATAATAATTTTATAATATCTTCTATATTTAAATAGATAGATAATTTTTTTTCAAAATAAGTGAAATAATTTTTATATAATACAATATTAAAATATAAGGTTAAATTATTCAATTAGTTCTATAGTTGTCTCCATTTTAAGTTTTAATCCGTATATGAAGAAACTTAAGTTTTAATCTACACACTTTTTTTTTTAGCAATTTATGACCGTCAAAAAGTTTTGCAAGCTTATTCCAGTATAAATTCTTGTCTAATATTATAACACTATGGACTAGAACTTAACTTTTAGGTACGTATAAAAAACTAAGACTTATAATTTTTTTATAACTCAAAATAGAAACAACTACAAGGAAAAAGTAAATATATTAACCAAAATATAAAAAAAGTTGGACAAAGGTAAAGTTATATTTGTTTTAATTAAAATAAATAATTTTTAGTTGAAACAGTTTAATTGCTCTTATCGCGTTATAAAAAATAGTTACATGGCGTTGATGAGAGAAAGAAGCAGATGGAACAAGTTACAAGACAAATATTATGGACAAACAAGCGGGGACTTGGGCCTTGGGCCTTGGGCCTTATGTTATGGTTATGAGGACCCTTCATTTGTAGGTATGAAGTTCACACAGCCCAAGTAAAAGGACCCACTTGGGTTAAAAAAAAAAAAAGGACCCTCCATCTCCATGTACTATTAATCCAAATATATATTGTGCATAAACCAAATCAAAATCCCTCGTCCACTTCGTGTGTATATCAAAAGGTCTTGATATTAAAGAGAACGGAATTAGAGAATATTTTATATTAAAAATTATACTATGATATTTATAAAAATAAATAAAATACAATTAATGAATTAGGCTAAAGTGATTAACATACTTGTTTAGACAGTGTCTGAATTCAATACTTTATCAGATTTTTTTTTTTTTTAGATCAAGTTAAATTAGTTTAAGGTAAAATTTTAGAATATTAGTGCGGAAGAAAAAAATATCAAGATATTGAATTTATGTCAATTTATTATTTTTCAATCTTTTTTCATAATAATTTATTATTTTTATTTAAAAATTTATTAAATTAAGAAATTATTAGAAATAACATTTTACTCTTCCCTTGCATTTCCCCTAAATAATCTATTTATAAACATACATTTAAATAACAAATATTGATAAATTTAGATCGATACGAGTGACAAGAAATTTACATCACTTAACCTGAGTGTTGCGAATACAAAAAACTTAAGTTGAAATATATTCAACGGGTCCTTAGTAATGAAAAAAAAATAACATTGTTCCATCGATCATTTCTTACGGCTGTAGTAAAATGAAGGAAAATTTTTGAATTTTTATTTCTAAAATTTGGAAGTCAACTTTTCTTTCTATTTTTATTTATTTATTTATCTATTAACTTTATCTCTAGATAAATAAAAGAAAATACATTATTATTCATATTTTATTTTCTTTCTTTCCATCTAAACATATATAGGCATACAAATTGAAGTGTTTATATATTTTACTTCTCAGGAAAAGAAAATCAGAGTCTGAATTTCTTCTTTAATAAAAAAGAAAGAAATGGTGTAAAAAAAAATTATGGTAAAAATAGTACTGCACAACCAAAATATGTTCACATAACATTATTTACTAAATATATGATTTGAGTGTTTGAACCGATCAGACGAGATGTTGATAAGATTTATGCATATCTTAAGGCTTAACTCAAATTATCAACGTTAACATCGCATTCACAACGTGTTTTGAAGCTCAATAAAAACAAAACAAAAAAATAGCATGAAAATATCTGTCTAATACATTCCTTGATTGACCTTTTTTTTAGATTGATTTATGGTTTGATTTTCCAATTTGAAAAATGAGAATTAATAGTCTGAACTATTAATTTGCCATATATCTATTGTGTTTAAGAATAGTATATATATATATATATATATTTATTTATTTATTTATTTATTTATTTATTATGTGGGAATCGAACTCTATGTATTAAAGGCTTATTGAGTATTATATTTATTTTAACCGGGTCCTACAACTACAATGTGACATCATATTTAAGTAGTTTATGAAAAAAATATATACATTATACTTTAATGGTATATTTTAATAACTAACTCACATTTATATATTATTTTTTATTTATATATAAGTGATTCTCCACAAACTTCTCTTATCTCTCCTTTCTTAATATATAGACCACCTAATACATAAAATAAAAAGTTATATTTATAATTAGGGACAAGTAAACCCGTATTTATAAATAATATTTAAATTTATTTCAATTTTGACAAATAAAAAATATTTGATTTGATTAGATATGAATTATTAAATTGGGTACAAAGATAAAAAAAGGTATATGTTTACTCATTCCATACTTTAAATTTTAAAATTTTTAATTTATTTTTTTTAAAATTCATTTAATACTTATATAATTTTTATTCTATTTTAAATTTATGTCAAATGAAATTTAATTAATATAATTTTATAATAATTACTCAATGTTAAAAATATTTTTTTTATAATTTTTAATTAATTTCTAGATGAATACATATATATTTAATATTCAACGAGAACTGGGATGGGAATATAAATTTCATACCCATTAAGTACAAAGACAAAAATGGGTATAGAATACAAAGACAGAGACAATTATACAGTATGAGAATAAAGACAAATATAATGAAACTCGTACCCATCCTATCTCTATAATATACCTGAGATACAGAGATGCTATAAAAAAAAGTTTAAATGTATATATTTATTTAGATTTTTTTAATTTAATACTTATTTCTAGCTATATATGTTTGCCTAAGAAATTATTATTTATAATTAGTAATAAATGATCGGTTGTCGATGTATTGAGCGTAATCTAGTTTAGTGAAATTGAATATTAGAAAGATTTAAAATTGAATGAATTTATATTAGAGATAATTGAAATTTGAAAGGATTCTTATACCTATTTGTGCTCATTAATTCTTTACGTAACCTAGCTATAATTGCATTTGCTTTCTTTAATCTTAATTAAAAAATAAGTCAAAAGTATTCATCAATTACTACTCATATATTCGTTACCATTTTCTTTTTTGTCTAGCGTAAAAAAAATGATTGATCACTTTACTAGTTTACTTAAAGCACAATTCTCATATCTGATTGTAATTAATGAGCAACTAAGTTTCATGCAACTAGTGATTATGGACTCTCATATTCGTCATTACATGTGAGTTTACACAGAAGACGAGAAATGCAACAATTTTTAAGGATAAAGTTTGGTTTACTAGCTATTAACTAGATGAAGACACTTAGAGATACTGTTAGAATAACACCTTTGCTACAAATTAATACCATTCTAGTGCAATGGCAACCACCTCCAGAGAATACTGTGAAGCTCATCGGGTTTTGACATCATCATTCATAATTGTCGTAGTGAATGGTTGAAAGGATTCTCAGGTACTTGCGGTTTTAAACGTGTTATTTATGAGATACACTCTCAAGCCTCCTTGGATCTCATTTCAAATGTTGTTTCAACTTTCAACTTTCAACCCATCTTCATCATCAAGCGATCATTAGTTGTATCTGTGACAAAGGATTGTAACATTTTATTCAAGTATATATATAGAAAAGCTAACCATTATGCCGATTGGTTGGTTAAGATGTAATAACCTGGTAAGATATAGCATGCATGTTTGGATAATTGCCCCTCACCACTTACTTATCTGTGACAAAGGATTGTAACATTTTATTCAAGTATATATATAGAAAAGCTAAATTTTTTATTTTTAGAACCCAAACATCAACTTTTCTTAATTTTTACTTTCTTTTATTTTCTTTTCCTTCATAAAAAATTATCGCTATTTATTTTAATATCCTCCAAGTAGACATCTGCTGGTAATTCCAGTATGATATTAGTATTGGGAGTTACCATTTTATGTATATAAAAAAAATCTCGTTTTTTCCATCCAAACATAGGCATACAAATTAAATTATTTCAAATTTTAAGGAAAAGAACATTATAATATGTTGGAGTGTGTATTTTTTTTTTTTCTTTTATAATCTAATGCAAGGTTTTGTATGTGTAGAAATAGCACTTCATTGGACTAATAGAATTAACCTACCGATAAAAGTTGGAAGATGATATACATGATGTCTTTTTACTTTGATGATTATATAAATATTAAAAAAATAGTATTGCAGTTTCAAAATTTGTTGAAGCAACATTGCTCAGTAGTCGCTATATGATTAGTGGTTGAGGTGATTAGTGAAAAGATATGGATAAGATTTATGCATATCTTAACTCGTAAAATTATCAACGTTAACATCCCACAAGCAAAGTGAGTTGAGCCTTGATAGAAATGAAATAATAGGTTGAAAATATGACTTATCCTCGTCTTCCACTTACTACTTTCCATTCTATCATAATGGTATACTATTTCTAGTTAATTAGTAAAGCCGTGTCGAAACAAAACATGGGCAAACTTGAGTCACCCAACCAAGTGTTGACGCATGTTTAGCCTCAATTGGCCCTTACTGTGGCTATAGATGGTGATGCCTTTTCTGTCACATGCACAACCATTTCCTGGCCGTTCAATTTTGCAGCCTTCAATAACACCTGGCTCCACACTCTCTCATGTCAGTCAAACGTGTCAACGCCGCAGAGTGATCTAGTTAATATAGTGTGTATAAGTTCACAATAATTTTTATCTTTTAAATTAATTTTTATGATATTAAATTAAAGAAAATTGAATATAAATAGTTAATGTACTGAATTTAAAGTTAAATCGTTCAAATTGATTGATTTTTACAATTGAGTCGTTTTCTTAGTGCTCACAGCTATAAAAAAATGAGTGACCCCTTGTTTGGTTTTTGTGTAATGTGTTGTTGTGTCTCAATTGAGGAGGCTTCTCTTCTCGAACTGACTCATTCACTCTCAAATCACTGTCTGTCAGTCTTCTAGTGTTTTCCTTCCAAGTGTAACTTCAACTAGTAGTAGTACCATTTCTCTCTTAACATCATATTCCTTCATGTCATTCGCTTTTACACTTTGTTTCTTTTCACTCTTTTTGTTTCTTTGAACAGAAAAAATGTTGCTAAGAAGCTCCACCATGCCAATACCAAGTTCATGGTTGCCCCGTTTCATGGAATCTTCCCTTGAACCAGAATCGGTTCTCCAGCCTCCTAGAACACTTTCAACTCCTGTACAAAGTTCGGCTGAGAAGAAAACTTGCATGAGCATCAAGGTGAGAGAAAGTGATGAAGGGGAGGAAGCAAAGAAAAAGATTTACAAGAAGAAAGGAATACCACCGTTTTCAAGTTCTGGTTTAGATAGGGAAGTTGTGGAGCATGAGGAAGGTGGTGAGAGGAAGAAAGGTAGCAAATTGCAGACTTTGGTGATGGGTGGTGGGATGGGGAGTGGTAGTGGTTATAATGGGAATGGAAGAAGCTTTGATGGTGAACATGCGGGGGATTTCTCTGAAGAAAATAATCATGGTAGGGATTGGACAGATGCTTATTACCAAAACATGATTGAAGCAAACCCCAATGATGCTCTTTTGCTTGGAAATTATGCTAAGTTTTTGAAGGAGGTAATTGTGTTGGTACTTAAGAGCTTGAGCTTGATCGTGATCTCTCTTAAAATGATGGGAAAATGCTGAAAATGAAAAAAATAAAATAAGACAAGAATAGTCTAATCTATAAGATTAGTCACTAACCAAAAAAGAGAGAAAAGAACAAAAGGCCAAGATAAGCTAGGATAATTGTGATTAAAAAATATCCTTGTCTCATTGTTTCTTTCTATTACTAATTAGTGTTTTTCTGATATTCAATTTGCAAATAGGTTCGTGGAGATTATCCTAAAGCAGAGGAATATCTTGAAAGAGCCATTTTGGCTAATCCTGGAGATGCTAATGTTTTGTCCCTCTACGCGGATTTAATATGGCAAACAGAGAAGAATGCTGATCGAGCTGAGAGCTATTTTGATCAAGCTGTTAAAAGTGCCCCGGATGATTGGTAACATCAATTTTTTTTTATCTACATGGATTATGATTTTTGTTTTCTTCTATTTGTGTACATTCTCCTAATTATTTATACAAGATACATTTTTTCAAATTGCTATCTGTTAGATGACTTAGTTAGGGCTAGATAAACATCACATGAAGTTGGTTCTTTTTTATCTTTTTCCAAATACAAAATTCTCTGATTTGTTAAATCTTAAACTCATGCTCTAAAGTAGCTAAACTGTGTTATAATTCAATGATCTGTCATCTAAGATAATTCTTTAGACATTTCTTGTTTTTCTAGCCTTGATTCCAAATTAAACAAATTTGTGTCCTGATTTTTCTTGTCTGTTGATAAAACTAATGTATATATCGTTACTATTGTCACTTGTCAGCTATGTCCTGGCTTCTTATGCAAAATTCCTCTGGGATGTTGATGAAGATGAAGATAAAGAGTGCGTACATAAGACTGATCATGGCCATGCATATCCACCTGATACTTTTCAAGAAACTAAAGACCACCCTCATGTTACTGCTGCAGCCTTCCAATCCTACTTCTCTGAGTGAACTTGGATATATATATTTTACATATGACGAATGAATCATAAAGTCTCAAACAATAATGTCATAAGTAATATAGAATAGAGATGACTATCTAGCTGTAAATAGCTTATGCCATAAATAAGAGAAGGCTGTGTTGTGTACTAGTGAGGCTTCCACTGATGTACCTTCTGAGAATATGAAAGTTTTGGTAGAAGTTATGGAATAGTGAACAGCCTTCTTATGGTTTTAATTTTACCATGTTCTTTAACTCTATCCTGAACTAGAATTCTTTAAAAGATTTTTCTTTTGGAAAGTGAATTCTTAAAAAGAGTAATCACCCAAATGCAATGTGATTACTCATTCATATGGATATCGTAGATAACCATACATACCTGCCTGAAATTTGTGTAATTCCTGTCACCCAAAGAGAGAATTATAAAAACAAAAGTAAAAATCAAATGAAAGAGAAGTTCATTTTACAATAATAATAACTCTAATCCAATTTTATTTATGGGTCATGTGTCTTGATTTCCTTTTCTTTTCTTCACTTGTCAGACAGACTCATTTATAAGGTAATATCATATTTAAATTGTCTCTTCTCAATACTTTTTACGGACTCCAGAAATAGTATCTGTTATTTGGCCATAAAAAATTGATGATTACATTTTATTTCTAGCAAGACTAATTTACATTCTTTAATTCTTTCTCTTGGACAGATGTATGGAGGGAGCGCAATATAATTAATCAACAACAGATATATTTCTTGCATTGGTTATGACTAGCTACAAGAGGAGGGTATAGTCCAAAAGATTAAGCCATTAGATAAAAGGATTTTATAACATAAGGAATAGTTATGAATCAACCTCACTAGAAAATAGTTAAAATTTAATTTTATAATTAGTTCATTTAATTTGAATTAACTTGACATTTAAATATATAATTTATATAATTAATTTTATTTATTTATTTTTAGCTTATTAAAATTTGAAAATAAAACTTAATTATAAATTAATAATAACATAAGAAAGTGGACATTTTAGAGTTTCATATTTATTTTTTGAGTTTCCTATTATTTTATAAGTAATTTTTATTTAAGTATATTTTGATTTTAATTATATATATTTTTTATATCTTGTAATCTTGTAAAATTAATAGAATAAATTTTGTTTTGACTTTAAAAAAAACTTGAACAATTATTTTATTTAAAATTTATTAATAAATTGAAATGTATAGAATTCAATTATTTGATTCTTAATTCATGTGTCAAGTTGATGAACTGTTTACATGTTTGAATTGAGTTGAATTCGAATTAAAAAAAAAAAAAAAAAAAGTTAATTTTAAATTTGAGTTGAACCAAATATTTTTGAACTAAATAGAATTAAACCAAATTTATCTCAACTCAACTCATAACTCATTTCTGACCCTTTGCATAAGTATCATATTGAATTTATTATTTTACTTAATGCTTACTCCTAATTCACATTTGCAAGAGATGCCAAAGTTGTGAGGTCAATGAAGGTTAGAGTTACCTATTTAACTTTCTTTGCTATCTCAGTTATCTCATATCTATATGATTAAATGAGTCGTTGATCTGAAATCTAAAGTCTACGCACGTGATATGAAATAGCCTCTCCGCCACCCATCTTCTAGTCGAATAAGAATTCAGCCAAGATAATGTATTGGATACCGCAAATAGAGCTTCAAGTATTGGAGATAAATAGCGATTGTTTTAAAGTTTCACCAGACTTGATCCGCATCATTTTGACTTCAAATGTTTGGAGACTTTGCTTTTCCGAGAACTTATCTTTGAGATCAATTTGGCATATTTGTTTATACTTAAAATTTAAACAACTGTGACCATTTAGTTTCTAAAGTATAATTACAATAAATAAAGAGTATTGTAAACATTGCTGTGTTTTTTAGTCACCCCTAGTCCGTGAATATAAAGCACCAATGCCCACAAACGAAGGGAAAATCACGAGGAGATCGCCATTCAACACGGATGACAAAGTTCCATTCTGCCATCTTTTCATTAAATTAAAAATTCCAAAGGATTTCTAATATAAACCCAATGACATGACATCATGACATGACCAAACCTGCCAAATTTTTAGATGTACATATAATTCAAATCAAACATGAAACTATACATGATTCATCTAGCTACTTGTACTTGATCTCATTCATCTTGGTCCTGATAATTGAACACACGACATGGGTACATTACTAAAAAAACTAGCCTGTCCCGATGAATTAGTAGCTTCTCCACTACTCAATTTCATGAAAGCTGAAAATGTACCTGATTGAGATAATGAGGGTGGATCAGGCACAAGGCACAAACCTTCAAGCATTTGAGTTACCTTAGTCATGGAAGGCCTCAAATTCACATCATCCTGTATGCACCAAAGAGCAACTTTTAGAGCAACTACAACCCTTTCATCCTTCTCATCAATATCTATCTTTGGATCAAGAACCTCTTTCAGTTTCCCTTCCTCCATCATTCTGAACACATAAGAAGGAAAATGTGCCTTCTCTGCTCCTTCCCATTGATCATAGTTCTTCCTCCCTCCAACTATCTCAAGCAACAACATGCCATAGCTGAACACATCACTCTTCTCCGAAATTGCATAGTTAGTGATCCATTCTGGTGCTAGATATCCTCTTGTGCCTCTTAGAGTTGTGAACACATGGCTCTGCTCTCGGCTCATTAGTTTGGCCAATCCAAAATCAGAAACCTTGGCAGTGAAGTTATCATCAAGAAGAACATTTTGTGGCTTGATATCACAGTGGATGATCCTCACTTCACACTCCTCATGAAGATAGGCCAACCCTTTTGCAGTGCCTATTGCAATGTTGTACCTGTTGAAAATATGTCTAAATATTTTTAATTTGAAAAATGATAATTCGGTTTTAGAAAGTTTGTTATGCTTTGGAGTTTTAGAATGTTGTTTAAATAAAGATAAAAATGTTATTTTATCATTTATGTTTAGGATATAATCAGTTTGGTTGTCAAATTAGGATAATGTTACTATTTAAATTTCTGTATGAATAGAGAATTCATGAATAAAATTACATCAAGCTCCTCTAATAAAAATATATCTCTACAAAACAACTATCAGTACCTTGTGTCCCAGTTCAACAAGAAAGTGTTCTCACTGTTCTTGAAGATCCATTTGTCCAAGGAACCCCTTGACATGTATTCATAGACAAGAAGGCGATGAGGACCCTCAGCACAGAAGCCTTTGAGCTTCACCAAATGAACATGATGAATACTTCCAATTATAGACACTTCTGCTTTGAACTCTTTTGCACCTTGTCCAACACCTTCCAATTTTTTCACAGCCAATTGAGTTTCATCTTCAAGCACACCTAGATACACTGAGCCAAACCCTCCTTCTCCAATTTTTGTGGAGAAATCCTTAGTTGCTCTACAAAGAGCACTAAAAGTAAAACGAGCAGGCATACCAGAGAGACCGTCCAAGAAATCATCTTCCTCCAAAGTGTCTTCAAAAGGATACTTAGCAACATTCTTCTTTTTCTTATAGTAGTACCAGAATCCTGTTATAAGACCAACTATAACAAGAACTGTGAGAACTACTATGACAACAACTAGCACCGTGTCATTCCTACCATTTCTGTTGCCATGTCCATCACCATCAATTGAAATCTTCATGAATGAAACATAGCCACCAGTGCCCCCCCTAGAGCGTTGGAAACTCCCAGTCTCATGAAAATGAAAGCATCTTCCAGTGCTGTTTTCAAAGAAAAGCACAAGGCATGAGCAGTTTCCTAAACAAGCCTCTTTGCATGAATTCAGGTTTGATTTTGAAACCGGTGCAGTGTACTTGAGAGCAAAATAATCAAGCTCCTCTCCAACAAACACAAGTTCTGTTGAACTCTTGGAACAGGTTGTGATATTGGGAGGTTTGCAATTAAAAGGTTTGAGAGGTCCAGGGCACACACACCAGTTTTCAAAGAAGCAAACATAGTAAGGATCACAAGGCTCCGGAATGCCACAAGGGTCTTGTGGCACCTTAACTGCTTCAGGGTTATGAGACCTCCCTTTGTTGAGATCATAAAAGGAGATTGCACCATTTGGATCCAAGGTAGCAGACCACAAAGACTTGGAATCTGAGTGTTCAGAGAACACAGTTTTCCACAACAAACCCCCATTCATGTCATAAAAGCACCAAGAATTGTTCACCAAAGACAACGAGTGAACCTTAGCAGTGTTATTTTTTGAGCTTCTATTTCTATAGACTTCTTCTGACAGGGACCAGTACACTTGTGGAGTTTCAAATCCTGCATAGAGAACCAAATCACCTTTCATATAACTAAGATAATGACACAAGTTCATGCTGTTGTGGAAGCTTTTGAGACTCATTCCTTCCACAAAGGCTTGCCCTGGCAAAAGAGTATCAGTGGGGTGGCTAAAACTTTGCCAAATAGTTGTTCCATTTTCCCCAAGCAACACCAAATTCCCTGAGTCAAGCAACTCCATGGCTTTTACTTTTTGTCCTGTTGTATTCGTTGCCCAAACTACACCATTCCCACCTTCCAAATATGCATTACCACTATGGTCAAACACAAATTTATCAGAATCTCCAACGAGTAAGCCTCTGTTGGCAGTCCAAACCACTTTGTTGCTGCTTAAGTGAATCACAACCAAAACAAACAATGAGACATCAAGAGCAGTTAAGAACCCCAAAGCGAAAACTGAGCTGTTGGATAGTAAGAAAAGACCATTGTGGTCTCTCCAATCTGGTCTAGAAGCACTGAAGCCAGGATATATCTGACGAATGTGTTGATCATTGGCCAGACATGTTCTAAACAAAAGTAACACAAAGAAAAACAAGATCCCACTTCTGAATGAGCCCATGATTTCATATCTGCATCAAAAAATTGAGTTTTCACTAAAAGAAATGAATTATGAAAGATCCGAGAAGATAAATAATTTGGTTACTATTACAACTTGATTTACAATGCAAAGCATATTTAACTGTTTCCTTAAACCACAGCATGAGTATGAAACTACCATAAATAGAGGGAGATTGTTATGGAAAAGCATGGTTCTTAGTGCAGGAAAGCATGTTACAAAGCAAAACATAAAAGGAAGTGCATGATGAGTTGATGAGAAGTAGTACTATAGGTATGAGTATGACACACCTTATTTTCCATTGAGTAGCAGAAGCGATGTTAGAGTGCAGAAGGAGTAAGAGAAATATTAGAAGGAAGGTTCTTAGGCAGGTTACTGGAATTATGAGTCCATATGAGTTCTCTGCATTTTCTCCATGTGAAGATATGGTTGAGACATTGGCTTCACTGTATATATCTAATAAATGATAGGGACGATGTTGTTGCGTAGTTGCATTATAGTCCTAAACTTTCCCCGTTTTTGAAGTAATTGTCCAGTTTTACTTTATTTTCATTTTTATTAGAGTAATGCTACGTGAAATAGAAATTGTACGACATAGCACGAAAAATATTATTTTATGTCTCTCTTTTATTATTAATAAATATTTTTTATAATAAATAAAGTGATAAAAAGAAATAGATTATTGTTGAAATTGTTCAACAATTTTTGGTCGTACACCAAACATTATTTTTTCTTATTACCAGTACAATTTCATAAAATAAAAAGGAATTATTCCACCATCATTCAAGACACTGCAGAATTTATTTGAAGAATGCTTGATCATTGTTATAAGTTTTATTAATCATTGTGTTTAAATCAAAAATTAAAAATTAATAAATAAAACTAATTGTAAAAAAACTATGAATAATAATGCTATATTTTTAATAATTTTTTTAATTTTTATTCCTTAGTAATAGCTAGCAAAACCATGGTTAACCAAATGTATTGGAAAATCTGTCAATTTCCCTTCACTATTATTGTTTGACTAATTTGAATAAGCACAGCAAGCTTCTGGAGGTAACAATTTGAATTTTTCAAAAAAGGAAGCCCTAAGCCAGAAAATTGTTTGTCCTCTCATTATAAATTTAACTTTTCTGACTTCCTCCAGTTTGGAAACCTTTCAAAATGAGTTGGCATTGTACCTGCCACATTTGTTTCGACCTAACCATATTTATTACAGTACTGTTATTTTCATTAGCAAAAGTATTTTATGGACAAAATGCTTAACTCAATTGTATCTATATTGTAAATATCTCAGCATTAGATTTGATTTTTATTAATAATAAAAAATTGATATATGATATAAAAGTAATAAAGCGAACACAAGAGAAATAATGGATGATAATGGAAGATACCTACACACTTTGGACACAACAGTATTTACATATTATTACTCATTTTATCATGTACTAATATTTCACATTAACATGAAAGAATGCATTTAATATTTGCAAAATATAAAAAGAAAGAATAAAAAGAACAGAAATTAATTGGTACGTAGTTGTTTCGTAATGGTTCATTTGTTTATCAACTTGGTTAATTGATTATTAATGTCTTCTCTTTTTTTCTCTGTTTATTTTTATATTTTAAATCAAATATTTCTATTTTTATTTTATTTTATTTTCTACTATTTTTCTTTCTTTCTACTGAAAAGTGAACCCAGCTAATTTTGAAAAGTCTAAGGAAAAAGATTGACATTTAAATTATGAGGTTAATACTGGAAAAAAAAAAAGAAAAAAAAAAGTCAGAACCTACTAAAGTTATATGAAGACAATTGAAGACTATTTCTGAGAAGAAGAAGAAAAGTCTACTACTTTATTTACTCTGTTTACATTTTAATGATTGGATAAAATCTAACCCCAAGTTGTTTTTGGTAGTGCGAAAGTCGAAGCTTCTGACGAGAAAAGAATGGAAGAGAAACCATGAAAATAAATTGAACTCAGCTTCCACCATGTATGCATATTAATTAAGATTAAAGAATGAACTAAAATTTAACTACCATATTCATGTTTTTATATTGAAAAATATTTATCCTTTATTAAATTTTTCTTTTACAGTATTCTTAAATTGATGATCAAAACTTTCCCCAACCAAACATTATTTAGGTTATGGTTGTGTCCGATATAATGAATGTCCCATCGTGTAGTTCATGAAGAGATATAAAATCTGTAAAAGCACGGTGAATGTGAATAGGTTCCAAAAGTCAATGAAAGTCAAAATGAGTTATATGGTCACGCACGCTGAAGAAAAAAATTCATTGGGCCCAGTTCATGATTCTTGTTGCATCTTCTCGTTGATCCTAATTAATTACAGGGCCGTGTGTTTAATTCTTGGGCCAAGTTACTTTTCGAAAGTCTCAGACTTTTTTTTTATTTTTAAATAAACTAAATATGGAGGGCTCGTTATATATACATCTCCTTTTTTTTTTTTTTTATAAGTACACCTCCTTTATTTTTTTTTTAATTTATAAAATATTATAGTTTTTTTATAAAATTTTCTAATTTTACACTTCCAACTTTTAATTTACTATTTTCTTCTTTTTTTTCACACATTTTTCTTTTATTTTTAGTTTTTACATGCTACCAAAATAAGTGTGATGAAGAAAAGGTAAGAGGGTGCATGTAAAAATTAAAAAAAAGAGGAAAGATGTGTGAAAAAAAAATACTAAATTAAATATTGTAGATGTAAAATTAAAAATTAAAAACAAAAAAATTAAAAATATTTTAGAGATTTAATTATTTTTTTAAAAAAGGAAGTGTATTTATAGACAAAAGGAGGTGTATATATCATGAACCAATATACTACAAGAAAAATGCTAATTTTCGACGAAAATTTCTGAAGGAAAAGGTTAAATTTTCGACGAATTATTTTTTCCGACATATTTAAATTCGTCGAAAAGCGCCGGAAAAAAAGATTCGTTGAAAGTAATTTAATCCGTCGGAAATTTTCGACAGAAATTCTGTCGAAAAATTTCGTCTATTTCTGTCGAAAATTTCTGACAAAATTTTTCAACAAAATTTTTGTCGAAAATTTCCAACAGAATTTTTCGTTGAATTTTTTTTGGAAATTATATATTTTTTAAATTTTAATAAATTTATTAATGTAACAGTCCTCATATTTGGCCTCTCAAGGGTTCTACTTCAAGACATTTCACTTTTAGTGTGTTTTATCCTTACTTGCATAATTTCTGGAAAACTTCCCAAAGTCACCCATCCCAATACTACCCCCAAGTCAAGCACGCTTAACTGTGAAGTTCTGATGAGTAAGCTACTGAAATGTATATGTATGTTGTCACTATAACTTGTACAAATTAATTCATTTAAGTCATCCTCAAATATACAATCTCATACTTGTACTATAATAATAATATATAATAATTTTATATTACGAATAATAATAATAATAATAATA